ACCTCTCTCCAGTTGGCTGCATGAAATTGGCCCCCAGGTGCCACTTCTGTTATTTACAAATAATGGTGGAAGGGGAGATTGATATGTTGTTTACGTGCTCCATAAACCAATTTCCAAGTAACAGGTGTAAATTATTTTAAATTAAAATATTGATCCCTGCACACCCTGCTCACTTTTCCAATTTGACGGGGTCAGGGTAGTTGATGCATGTGACGACTTTGCAGAAGGTGAACAAGTTTTCCTTTGTGAAATTGGACTGTTTTTTCGGAATCTGCGCGTCAGAAATTGGTTTGCAAAGGTGGTACCATAAAGTGGCAATTTTTTCTAGCACAAAATGTTTCAAATACTCCTTTTATATTGGACTTAGTTTCTGGAGAGTGTACATATTGATATTTCTGAAAGTTGAATTGAATTAAAAAAAAAATTCCAGGTGGAGAAAAAGTGTTGATGTTTTACATTAGTTTGATTAAATAAGATGACAGGGGCTGTGAGAGGTGTCGCTCAAACTGCGAGTCTGGTGGACTCGGAACAGGAAATCTGAGGGGAATCATCCCCAGCGCCTGGGCTAGAATTTCTTGGGGAGGATGCCGGGACCACCGTCTAATTGCGTCAGAGCCTCTAGGTGCTGTCGGCTTCATAACAAATTCATGTCTAGCTGCAGGCAGGATCCTTGGGAGCCGGTGGCCAATACGGGAGGAGAGACAGCGATCAAAAACAACAGCTCATTGATCCTGGGGTCTCCCCCCCCTCTCCCCAACGGAATTGCAGCTTTTCCTCCGGGCAGGTGGGGAGCTGGGGAAGCCAATTTCATTTTTTTTTTCCTTCTCAGTCTGTCGTCTTCCCTTTTCCTTTGAGCTGAAAGAAAGGGGAACCTCTGAAGCGCACGGAATGTGAGGTCTGCACCTCATCTTTGTCTTGTCGGTCGCTTCAAAGCTCAGGATGGTGTGAATCATTGACGAGATGGATCAGGGTGTCGCCCCAAGTTTCTTGTGTTTCCCCAGTTTGTGTGTATTCCAGATCATTTTCAGTAGGAGTCGGGCACTTCTGCTGTACGCCCTAAATGTTAAATGAAGATGAGCAGCCGCATTGATAATCAAAGCAGTCACTGGAATTTATGAACAGTTCCGCTAAGAAGTTCTTCCTCCAAACTGTTGAATGGTGATGCTGTGTCTTTGGTGTCATTCCTTCTCAAAGACACATGCAGTACATGTCTGTGGTAAGTTTTGACATGTACCGCTACCACAGAAGGAAAAAGATGAAATGAAGACAAAGAAATGTTTGGAATTGATGCCCATCAAATTTGCACCGTGGGCACGTTCAATTACACAATCCTTTGCTTACGTCTGCGTACCACTAACAATGAAGGTAACGGCATGCCAATACTGACATATGTATTGTGCTAAAGCACGTACCCCTTACAAACTGTACATCTTGCAAACATCACATCTATGAATTATACATTCCTGTTTGATGGAAACAGGCAGCATTGAAGAGCCAATAATGCATCACCAAAAGAGCATTTCTCTGCACAAACAACCAGATTGTAGTGCAGACTAAAGGCCACTCAGACATGTTTTCTTGTAAACATCCAGACAGTAAAAAAAGGGGAAAAAAGCCTAGTTGGACGCCGGGGCCTTACAGCAGTAACAAACCATAAACACTCACCAGTGCAGGCACCATTGTATCAAAGGACAGAAGGGGGGTGCCTCTGCCGCTCACAATGTGCTTTATGCACACTGCAAATTGAGCAAAAAATGTCCAGGAGCGCTTTGAGCCAGTTAGGCCCATTCACACGGAAAATAACAGCCAAGATCAGGGTAAATATTGATAGAATAACTTCCTGTGACATTCTGCCTTGCTTGTGTGCACAACTTTGGTGATAGAAAATGTGCTTTGGGCACAAACAGACTGCAGTGTGGAGTTTTGAAAAAGAGTTGCTCTTTTTTGTCTTGGAAAAATCCCAAAAACTATAGTTGGAAGTAAATATGTTGTAAACCATGTTCCAAGTGACCTTCCTTTTTAAGACACAGCTCTTCACATGTGATTACATTCTCGTGGAAAAAGCAGTGAGAAATTCTTCTTTTGAAGGTTTGATACAGGTACTGGTACATATATTGTAACCTCAAAAGTGACTCCTTGGGAGATCTTCTGGGGAGATCTCCCCAGGAGATTATAATCCTTTTGCGAGTTAAATTTGAATGAAATCTGGTACACTGAGTTATTTAATTGCACATAGAGATAAGAATTAGAATTCTACTGACTAAAGACACTGTTGCTATACGGGTACCTTGTGATTTAGGGCAATCTTTTGCATAGCGACTGCTGTCTCTGGAAAAGACTCGTTCCTTTGTGCTGTTCTTATCCATTGAAAACAGTTTATTGGTGCAAGGGGTCTCTTATGTAACTAAGCGTAAGCTTGCCCTTAATCACATGGTACGGGAAATTCAACATACAATATGTTCACATGAATTTTAAAAACTCAGTGTACCAGGTTTTATTCAAATTAAACTTAAAAAAAAAAGGCTTATTGTTACTGTTCTTGATTTCCATGTTGGAGTGGTTTTCAGGCATTTCTGGAAAGCTTTTTTCCAAAAAAAGAAAGAAGTTCATCACTGAGCTTGCCTTTTGAAGATATTTGTTTGATATTAGGCATTTAGCGCACTGGCATGCACCTTGCAGCGTAGAATATAAGCAGTCCCTCGAAATTGCCTCTCAGAAAGAGATGCCAGTCTGTGCTTGAGAGCTCAATCATCAATAAGGCAATACAGACCCTGCAATATCCCATCCCAAACTTAAGTTATAGATTATTTGCTTAGGTAAATGATCTTTCTCTTCCACCACAATCCTTGAAAGCCAGGCCGCAGGACAAAGGGAAGGCCACTCCACCCACAGAGGAAGGGTGCTCCACCAATCTGAAGCAGGAATTTGATCCAGTGCCAGCTGATCCTCGCCAAAAAAAAAAGAAAGGGGGGGGAGGTGGAGGGGGAGGCTGGCTGACTGAAGGTAATCGGCTCAGGCAGATGAGCGCTACCCAAACAGGGCCTTTGTTCAGGGAGGGCACCCCTTTCAGAATGAGTAATTATCCATGGGAGGCAATTCAGCTGAAAGGAAATCCTGCAGTGGAGAACAATGACTAGGATTTAGTGCCCTGCATTCCTGGGGTTGGCCCTTCTTTTATAGTGCAAAGTATTTGAGAAATTCCACAGCCAGGCAGAGCTTTTTTGGGTTGTTTTGATGTGAGAGATTTGTAAAGCTTTGCATGGGTCCTAGCATCACCATTAGAGTCATTTGATAAAGTCCATTCTTGTGACACACAGGAGTGAATCATGTCAAATCTATCGCAAATGAAATTTTGTTTGGTGGGCATTTTGGGGTTGGCAGCGTCGTATTTGCGGCGATTGGGACCATGGAGCATTTGGTTAAGAAATACAATTTAACTCCGCAGGTTGGCTGTTGGTGGTGATCTGTGATGGGGTATCAGCTATCTGGTTGCATATTTGATGGTAGTTCATAATTTCGGACAGACGTTTGGTTGACGATAAAAATTCTACCATGTGCTGTGGCTTTCTGGTGCCTATCTCGTACATGTAATTCAACTGTTGCATTCAGTGTTAAGCTTGAAATTACAACTGGACATTTGCAATTATCTGACCCCGTTTGGTTTTGTCCCACCAAAAGCAGATGCGATCGGACAAAACATCTGAAGGAAATGTAAAGTCAACAATCCCCAAAGCAAAAAATTTCACGGTGTTATTGCTCTGGTTTTCAATTAAAACTATGAGAGTGTGTTGCTCGTGTAACCTGTCCTATCAAATGTATGGGCGGCCATTAGGGCAAAAAACTTAGAGAGTACATGTATAAATAAAGACAATGCAAATAACAAGTCTAATTAAAACAAAAATGTGAATAGAATTGAAAAATGACAAAAAACAAACAAACAAAACAAATGAATTTACCAGTATAATTACAAATGAAAAAATGAATGCAAATGGCAAATATACAGGTAAATACAAACACAAAGATAGATGTACACACATGAAATATCACTATTCTCACTTCTTTCCTTTAACATGCCTACTTTGTCCAACAGGTGGTCCTCATCTACACGTTCATTGCTTGTTGCTTTTTTTTTTGCAAGAATCACCTGAAAAAAAAAAAACACCCAGAAGTTTACGTTTCCAACCTTGTACATGTACTGGTAGTTGTTTGAACAGTGTACACATGTACATGTACACAAGTACATGTACATATCACCGGTGAATGTTACATGTACACCCAAGTGTGTATTTGCCTGCAACTGGGGACCCCCTATTGTTCCTCTTTTGTTTTTACTTTAACTTTTTCAGAAGACCATCCATATGTTTTGTACACAGTTGTCAATCCGGGGACCTTATTGTCCGCTATTGTTCAGGGTCCCCAATTGAATGTAGAAACAAACTCATATACACCGGTAAATGTACATGTACATATACACCAGTAAATTTTACATTGTGCATAGACACCAGTATATGTTACATTGTTGCAGCATTTTCATTTTTCACTTTCCCATATCTGTCGGGTTCAGCCATTCTAGCGAGCAGCAAGAAAAATTTAAGTCGGGGAAACAGAAGTATGGAATTCCATCCGTCCGTATTTGTTTCAAATAAAAGTGGGAATTTAATACACTTTCCCATTTCAAGAAGAGAAAACCAATGGAGAGAGTCCCCAAAGTCTGATTTATTGCTGGTTATCATTGGGAGACATTAGTGAGGTTTTGATATCAAGATTAATAACAGCGCTGTCAGGTTTCGATAGAATAGTCTTGCTGATTGATGAGAACAGTTCTTTCTTTTTTGTCAGTAGGAAAGTCACTGGCTTTCTCTAGCAATTCATAAATCAACACATTTCTAACACGTTTCTCTTTTCATTTTTTTTTTCTTTTCCCACTGCTTGGCCTCTCGTGGTGCTGTGGTTTATCGCGTCTCTTTGCTGACGCCGTTGCTTTCTGATGCACCTCGCAGGTGTGGAGAATTGACAGATGTGAGTATACATTACGCCTTGCTTCTGTATGGCCTTTTTAAAAAAAACTTTTATTTCACAGAGGGTAATTGGAGTGGCTGTAATTCAATGTAAATTAACTCTCTGGATTAACAGATGCCGACCCCTCCCCCCAGGGATTTGTTGTCTGACATGATACCTGTAGCCCCAACTGAGAATTGATGGAGGAAGGGGAGGGAGGGGAGAAGGAAAGGGGGGGGGAAAAACAAGGGAGAGTGATGTTTGCTGAGGGGCTGCCTGAGTCAGAGAGTAAATTTGTACATGTTGGAGATCTGTGTAACCAGGAATTGCCTCCAATTGTTCAAACATGGGCTGAAAAATGAGAACAAGTATCCCTGTTATCACAGAGAGATGGATTTGCTCGAACAGTTGTTAGCATTAAGAAGTTACTCACTTTAAAGTTAGGATAAGTTACACATATACTAGTATGTATGTGCATTAAGTAAACAGAAAAGTGAAAATATTTTTCTACCTTAGATAAGTCTACCTTATTATAAGTTGGTTTGTTGTTACTTGCTACATTTCTCAGTTTGTCAGGAAATTTTAATTAGGGTGTAAATGGGCATTTGTCAGGGGTCGACATTAAGCTTTTTTGCCCAGAAGCTAAAAACAGCTCCTGGCCTTTCAAATTTCAGGGTTTTTTTGGGAGCTGTTTCACAGAACCCAGGAGCTATTTTAGGTAAAGTCATACTAGGCCAAAAAATGATAGTCCTGCTTCCAATTACATGTATATGCCTTTCAAAAATAGGGTCAGTATGTCAGAAATTTTTTGGGGACGATTTTTCTGTGCTGATTGAATGGCATGAATGGGTACGAAAGCTTCTGAAAACTGTCTCAACTAGTGATAAAACCCGTCTTAGTCTTTGTGAAAATACAGGCAGTAGACATTTCACAACAATACTTATGGATCACGACAGCAAACTGGCCAACAATGTCCGTGTGTTGCGTGGTAAGTGTGCGTGATGCATCCAAACGAACGGATGATAAACCTTGTGCTGCAGCAGGAATTTTGGTGGAAACACGCTCGCTTCAAACCACCTCAAAGTGAACTTCTGAACACAGAGAATACATGTACATATACGTGCATCTGTTGACAAGAGACCAAGTTCTATGAATTAACTTGGAGAAATCCTCTTGCAATATTGATGTTCTTTCGACCTGCAGCTGTAGGGTTGCGTGTGCGGAAGGCTGATGTAGCGTAAGCGACCGAGACGTATAAACTGGTTGGCACATTTCCATCACGCATTCTCTGGCATGGGCGGGATGCGGCGGGAACCAGCACAGCTTTGCTTTAATGATAATGGATTGAGATTTGCGCATGGGTTTTCACAACAGCAAAAGGTGAAGGGAACTCATGAAAATAACAGAAGTTTCTTTTCAAAAATTGCAAATGTAAGTAGGAAAACATAAAAACGGGTGTTTTAACATGAGAAAAGGTTGTTGGAAGTATTTTGTGAAGAGAAGATCAGTAACAGCCGGGTGCTAATTTCAGCACCCGACCTCTCGCTTTATTACAGATTACTAGGTGCTAATCTTGGTATGTTGGATGCAAAAGCACCTGTACTGGTACATGTAATGTCAACCCCTGTTTTGTACATACTGGTATACTGTTACGTGTACCAGTCCATGTGCACAACATCAAATACAATCCTAATTCCTCTTTGCCAGGAACCATTCAGAATTTCCCAAAATCATTTATTGTGCAGGAAACCAGTCACAAAGCCTCTGAGAACATTCAGAGGAGAGTGGTCAAAAAGTGCCCAACAGATGACAACAAATGAAAAAACAACACAGTCCTTGTTTTGACGTACATGGACATGGACAGGTTTATTAAGATCAGTGATAATCCTGGATAACTAAGAACCTTCAACTTCAAAGGACCAATCAAGTCCCATGCAAACCAGTGTTGCTGGGCTCTACACGTGCCTGCGTAAGAAACGAAAGTGGGTTTTTAAGAATCCCGCGAGTGATAGGGTTGATAGAAGATGCACATGATGATTCGCTCATTTCTCTGCATTTTACCTTGGTGGGATAGGATCGTCGATATCTTGCACTAGGGTCCTGGAACCCATCTTTCATGACTCACAAGAAGAGAAGACCGAGGTGCACACAACCTCTTCTTCTGATTGGCAAATTCTCTGAAATGGCTGCACGAGACTATGCCAGTCATTACCAGCTCCCGGCCTGGAAAATGGCCAAGAGGTGACATCAACTCATAGCATCCTCCCCGTTATTTTCAATAACACCTCATGTTTCCGAATAATCTCTCCTAAGAAGGAGCGCCTATCCTTGAAAGACCCCGTAGATTTTACTCAACACATTGACTAGCCTGCTCTAGGCATTAGCAGACCCACAAGAGCCGAGTTGAAAGTTTGAGTAAAACCAACTGGCTTGTCAGAGTTCACATCTTTAAAAAAAAATTGAAAATGAATGGTGTGTCAGAAATACTCTCCACAACTTAGTACCACACTGCACTGCACCACACTGAGGCATAAATTGCACACTTGAAATCTTATTCCTGAATAATTCTTTTGACAGGACATGTACATGTATTACTAACAGGATAACAAGAAGACCTAAGAATTCAGTTTGGCATCACTTGGGTCATTTAGATGAAGCTATTGGATTTGATAAACACCCCCTCCCCCACCAAAGGTCTTTGTACAGCAGCATGCACGTGCCACAGTCAAGATTACCAAGTCAGTAACCACTACTTCTCACTCTGGGCACACAAACAAATCCACAAGCCAATCTTGTTCAACGCATCCCACCGAGGAATCGGAAAAAAAGGATTAGACAGAGATAACGTCTCGGATTCTCTCCACGTCGTCCGGTACGCTCTCTGACATTTAACGAGCGGAGGAAACATTCCCCAAAGCGCCGTCACACGATACTGCAAGCGGAAAAGACCTGAACACCTGGGAGATTGGAAAGGGGGAAAGTTGTTTGGTCGGTGCAGGGAATGGATGGAACTCGGGGATGTGTTTGCTCCCCACGGTGGCAGTGACGGGGATGAAGGAGCGTGTCGACCTTGGACGGCTTGGCTGCAAAACAGGAAACCATTTTGAGATGGGAATCAATTGTCTTAGCCGGTAAACTCAGCGGGGAGTGGGGGTCATGCTGAGTATTGACCGGTTGAGGGAAGATGACGAGAAATCTGCGAGGAAAGGAAAGATGTCGATGGAGGAAAAACATTTGAAATGAGCATTCTTTCAATATAAAGAGATATCTACATGTATACATGCAAAGGATTAGAATTTTGTAAAGATTATAATCCTGTTCCCTGTTTACAAGCTAAGCTCCCTCTCTTGTTGTGAAATAAGAAACAGGTACCTGTTAGGTTGAAATAGAATATGCCTCCCTCCCGTACAGGTACCGGTACATGAGAGTCTGCTGTGCCTCATCAAAGGTTACCTTGTTCAGTACACCTGGTGTGTAGACACTCTCATCGATGTTTCATGCAACTTTGAAAAATATACGTACAATGTATCTTGTGAAAGTACTCTCCCTTGCCTTGAGAGGTAAATGTACATGTACAAATCTGCTTGTGATAGGCTCTCCTCAGCATGGCAGCTTTTAACAAAAACAAAACACAAGTTTCATTGAAACTGCGCTGATGCTTTGAGCGACCTCCCTGTCTGTGCACTTTTTAAGGTTCGATCAACCGTCTGTAGGAAAACAAACATCCATGTTCTCGGGCAAATTCATAAACACTACATAGAGTGTCTAATTTATTGCCGCCACTTTTCTCATCCAGAGACACGGAAACAACTGTGCAATAAGAATAAATGATACATGTACATGTAGGTTACCCTGCACTTTATAAGCTGTGGCACGGTAAAGAGTACCATTGAAAATAAATGTCAGCTCTGTGTACCCATGTACATTAGTAAAGTAAATACGACATGCTGCTTGCAGCACCTTGTAATGAATGAGAAGAAGCTTGCAATATTGTACATGTAGTTGCTTTCTGTCAGCAGAGTATCAGACTATAGGACTGTGAATGCAGCATTATCTATGGTCCTGGCTACAGTCCTGTTTCCTGTTTAAAGGCTACATGTAAGGAAACCTTTATGCAGTTAGTGCTTGGAGGGGGCAGAACATCAGAAGTTAATGAATGCGAGTACGTGTACATGACCTGATTAAGCAAATTTTGCGTGTGGATTAGAGTCCACTTTAAGTGCGACAAGATAAATTAACATCTTTAATAACCAGTGTGTAAATCTACATGTACATGTACACGTCTGGGTGCAGTATGCATGTAGACCAAGCATGACACATACGTATGGAGTTTACAACATTGAGCATTCTTCAACAGTCCTGCATCTTCGATCACCATCGTGCTGGACCACATCCCCAAATGTTTGTTTACTCGCCTCCCGGAGTCCTATTTTCTCAACCTCTCAAAAGTTGACCTGTTTTCTTTATTTTGAAAATGATGGGCACCTTTCTATTCTCCCCCCCCCACACACACACACACACGCGCCCACCTTTTAGATTTCTCTTCGTGGGAAGGGGGTCACGGTCGCCCCGTTAAAGCCACTGAATAAAACCACCTGGTACCTGAAATAACAGTAGAGCAGACTCCGTCCTGGGCTGGATTGCCAGGTATGTGAAGACGGCAGTCTGGTCTGGCTTACACATAGATTCCTTTCTCTCCCCCCCCTCCTCCATCTTGCCTTCCTCATCTGTCAAATCGCATTGGAATTAGTGTTAAATGGAGACACTATGGGGCTCTTGCATTGAGTCAGGATGGCTTGGGAGTATTTTGATAGCTCTTTCTCTCTTGCCATTTGGACGTCCTATCCTTTGGACTGGGGAATTTGCTGGGAGATGTTTTAGATTCAATACATTTGCACATTTTTCAGAGGGATAGAATTTAGTGTTTCTGCTGGTGTTAGTTTCTGTGTACATGTATGTACATGTATACCGGTGGTTTATGCAAGCAAACATAGCCGTAACACCTGGAAAGAATTGGTTAG